TATGCTCTAAATCACTATCCAATAAAAGAAAATTATTGAGTTGGATATCTAAAGTTACTACCCAGAGGCTACTCCAGTACAGTATTTATAAATCTCTAAACAGTTAGGTATAATTGTCTTTCTGGGTGTTGGGAAGAAAGCCAAATAGCAGCTTTAGTTACAACTGAAGATAAATATTTTGTGCCGGGCCATGTTCATCTGGTGGATAAAATAACAAGTAAAATCCCCACAAAGGAGGACTCTAAGAAAAAACCAAGAAGCATGAAAAACTATATAGGAATAGTCAATGGACGATACTTGAAGAAGAAAGGATGGAAATGTCAACAAAATGAAGGAAAGGAAAATTACTGGAGGTCTCCCAACTTAACAGCCAAGGCAGAACCCATCACACATCCAGTCCTCCTGGGTGCTTTGGAAAAATGTTATGACTGAGGAGCACATGGTATGACTATGGATCTAATATTCTCTGGTCTGCTCTCCAAAATAATTCTAGATGAAATATTCTTAATTTCTGTTTGAGGGAACAGAATGAGAAACAGAAAGAACAATAAAAAATAATCTCCAGCAGCTGGGGGTGACCCTCTTATCCAAACACACACCTCTTTACAGATCTTTCTAGGAAGACAATCAGTCAAGATCTCTAAGAGGTGATCAAGACAAACACAGGGTTTCCTTGTCAAAAATAAGGTTGAGTTTATAAATAATTTTGTGAAGAGCTGGGCCAAGTTCTCACTTTACAGCATTTTGTACTTCAAAATCTGAGATATCTTAATGAAACAATAGTGTGCTGCAGCTTCAGTGGGATACACTTTGGCCTTTCTGTCCTTGGAATCCTGGTTCTAGGTCTCCCAAAGGCAATGAACTGCCGGGATGATTTCCAAAAGCTCATTTTCAGGACATTAGAGTCTGCAGCCCTAACCTCTAGCAAGCCCACAGAGCTGCCCAGTCACCTTTGAAACGATCAGTGCAGACAGCCCTGAGAACACTTTCAATGTGAGAACTTCCAACAGCACAGGTTTAATTTGAAAGAACTTCTTTTCTTTTTGAGTAGAAGTACATATTTTATGTAAAGGAGACCAGAAAATCCTTTCAAAACTGTTAGTAAGCTTTTCTTCCTAAGGAAGACAGGTTGTTTGCACAAGCAGTTCTGTGTAGCCATGCATCTGGTCATATGTTGCCAGACAGCTGATGATGAACATAGATTTGACAACTTAGATAGTTTACTGCCATCCCCTCTGGATATGCTAGGTCATTTGTAGCTCTGGTCCAGATTATTATTTTTTTCCTGTGTCTTGGAACTTTGAGTTGGATTTTTCTTCTGTGGAAGGTCGAGGCAGAGCACTGTGCTTAGATGAGATGCAATTCTGGCAGGATCAGTGATGACCCAAGATGGGCAAGCCAGAGGACAAAAATGTTGCTGCACTACTTACAGAAGGCCCAGATAATTGATAATTACTGTCAACCAGTTAGAAAACCTGGGGGTATTATTACACCATAAGGAAATACTATCAAATCTTCACTTCTGTATGAGAATGGCTGTGTGTGTTTTAAGTTCATCTTGCACTAGTAGTCAGAAAATCCTTTGTTGATGCAAACCAGATTAATTCAGAGCTGATTTTTCAGCAGTTAATGCATTGGGAATTGCTAACCCTATTGTTATAGAAATTTCCCTTTCAGCAAAGTATGCTGTCATGTGTCCACCCACCTGCTCCTTCTGCAAGATCCTTCCTCTCAGATTGCACCTGGGTTCTATACATCTCTGGCTGGAAAGGGCATGTTTGGATGGATACAGAGATACATTTTTATATGCCTAGGACTGAGAGTGACTTTGGTGTTAAAGCAGGTGAGGAGGATGAAGCTCTAAGAAAAAGGGAATGAAATCCCAAAATGTGTGGATTTTCTTCCTGCTACCAACTTAAAGCAAAGGAGTTATAGACATAGGCCTGTACTTCAACACTGCCAACAATTATGGCTTATCTGATGGTTCAATAAATTCACATCCTGGTTTTATGGCACCCTTCTTGTACTGGTGTCACCTTTTGCCTAAAGCTGAAATGAAACAATCACAAATACACACTAGAAAGATCCTTGTATATTCAATAACTTATCAATTAAATGACTGCATTTTTTTTCAGAAATGTAAACATGAAATTATATATCAGGTTTTCATATGAGATTCCATCACTTATTGACTACACAATTATACATATGAAATACATATAATTTAATTTAATATTTACCCAGAATAGCAAGGGTAAGGTCATACTGCTAAATCCCTCACCAAAAATCTTGCAGCTCACCCCATACATTTCTTAGACAGCTTACATATTTTGTTTTATTTCTTCTCTTTTCAACACCCTGTCACGGGGCAACTGACCTTCCGCCACACCTCCATATTTTCTAATGCCAGTGTTTCTGATGATCAGTAACAGAAGTAACATGAAAGAATAACACATCATCCAAGCATGATGTAGATGAGAATGTCTTAATTCAAAATCATGCATTAAGATCTAGAAAAACTCAGGCAAGCAATACACAAATGTAAAATGACAACTTGCTCTGTAAATAAAGGTACTTAATTGCCAGCAAGAATCTGTGAGTTTGTTCTAATATGCTGCTTCTTGACCAGCAAAAGTTGAATCCCCTACTTTATGTAATTGTCATGATAGCTGTGTCCACCGTATGTTAAAGCTGCATTTCAGAGACAAAAATGTCACATTGCATATAATTTCCAGTAAAGTTTGTGCTATCCACTGATTCTAACTGCTTCTGACAGTCTAATCATTTTATTCAAGGTCTTTCATGAAAATTTACAGTACTGAAAGGAGCAGAACCACGTCAGGAGTTGTAGATTTCATAAACAGAGAATTTACTGTGAAGATAATTGTTTTCTGAAGCAACTGGGCTTGCAAGAACCCCTCCTCATTCAGTGCTTCCATTTAAAATAGGCTGCTGGTTACCTGACTTATGTTATGCCCTGTTTCCCCAGAACAGCTATGGAAAGAGTCACCTTTAATTTTTTAACATGCAGTCCGGTATTTACCTGAAGAAATGTCAAAAATTTCTAAAAATGTGCTCACCTATTGTTCCTCTGCTTCTCTGCATCAGCAACATTTAAAAGGGCTAAAGGGATTTGGACAATGGCCAGCGAACACTTCCTGACCTATTGCTGCAGCAGCAACCTGGGTATTAGAGAGTCACAGAACAATTCAGTCTGGAAAGGACATTGGAGGGTCTCTGGTCTTATTTCCTGCTCTAAGCAGGGTCAACTATGAGGTCAGATCAGCTTCTTTGAGCTTTGTGCAGTCAGGTCTTGAATACCTCCAAGGATAAAGAGTAAAAAATGACAGGTGTTCATGTGGTGCACAAGACTGGATATTGACAGGTTTCTCTATCCTCACTGAGGGATGGTGTGACCCTGTGTACTCCCAGAGGTAAAATAAGACAGTCAAGTGCTGGAAATGTCTCTAACTTCTAAGCAAAGATGGAAAATTCTCTCAGACTGTTTGTCAAGAAGAGATTCTTGATTATTTTAATTATGTGTGTGACAGGAGACAGAGAGATTCACCAAAGAATAGCCATTAGCCTGGTAGTGGAAGTACAGATTTAGTTTTGAGAAATAGAATTTCAGATCCCAGGGCTAAACCAGCAAAAGAATGAACTTCTATGCATGTCTTCCACTTCTGCAATGAGTTTCCTAATCATGACTACAAGCTATCAGACTGTGAGCAAGCTGGCCTCAAAAATTTGTGAAGAAAGAACTCTAAAATATTTGGGGTTTTGTTATTTCCAGACCACAGATTTGAAACTTTCAACATTCATGGGATTAAAAACAATCAGTTTCTTCCTTTTCTTCTCTAAATCTACTTCTTATCCAGAAAACTGTCCAATTTGACTTTGAAAAGTTCAAACTTTTAGCTTTCTGGAGCAATTTAATTCCAGTATTGAATTCCACTATTTTATTGCTGATCCTAAGAAAGAATTTTCTATGTTCAAGTTTCTATATTCAAGAAGTTCCACTGCAACCTCTGATTTTTGGCATATAATTCCTATTTCCTGATTAGAGTGCAAAGAGGAAAATCTGAACTTAATCTCAGTTCTCACAGTCCTTGAGGGAAACCTATCTCTAGATCAGGCTCTCTGGGAAAGTGCAGACCAAAGCACAATCCTTTCCACCTACATTTACAGCAGAACCAGATCCAGAGGGAATATTTACTGCTGCACTTAATAGGTTTATCAAAGGTAGGACTTCAGCTGCATAAGCTGCAAGACCCTTCAGGGATGAGAAGATGATTGTTTTTACACTGAGGGTCTTTGCCAGGGTGCTTATGACTGCTTTGCAGCTGCTTTGCACAGGCACAGATGGTGTAAAATAGCCTTTGGCAACCTATAAATCAGTCCCCTTCTCTCTGGAAAGACTGAAAGATTTTGTTCAATGTTCTTAAATGGGATGAGTGCATGTCAAACCATGGGAAGAAATCAGCTTTGAGTTAATTCTCTGTGGCTTCTTGAGCAAGAAGGTGCCAAAGCTGCAAAGAAAATTCAAAGTTGTTGTTTTTATTTTACTTTTTGAGTTGTGTTACTAAAACTTGCATTTTCTCTGTAGTTTCAATGTGTTTTACATAAAAAGAAATTTTGTTAGCCAGAATTCAGGTATTCCAAAGAATAACTGCAAGTTATCACCGGTTATATAACAGCAACTCACCCTGAAAAGGAAGCCACAGTGAGAAAACGACATTTTTATACATTATCTAGGAAAATTTCAAAATGAGAAAAAATGCCAGTTTCATGTTCATTCATTTTTCTTTTGAAAGATGTGCTCTGTGATGTAGCAGAGAAACTACGTGCCTGTCCCTTTAAAAGCCATCATACCAATCAGCAGGTTTAACTGTCAAGCAAGCTGATGTAGGGCTCTTTGAATTACTGAGTGAGGGATATTCTTCCTGCCAGGTCCTGTCCCCTGTAGGCACTGCAGAGAAGTATTATAGGGCAGTCCTTACCTTGGGAATTAGCCTGCAAGACCCCAATGCTGTCATCAAACTGCATAGATTTGATGTTGAGTGACGCCAAGATGCATTCCTTGTCCTGCAGCGAAGCATCATCAATATTATTCTGATTGGCTGACAGGATAACGCACATGTCGCAGAGGTTGATGTTGACAGCCCTTAAATCAGCCCGACTTAATGGCGTACCCTTCGGCACAGCGAGGAGAAAAGGGGGGTGCAGGAGAGGGGAAAAAAAGAAAAACAAATTAAAGATTGAGAAGGAGCTTTGGGAAATTATTTAACAAGTATCTTTTTTATGCTCTGACATTAAGCTGGTCTAACTATGTGCCAGGGAATAGGAGATGTGTGCTAATCTAAAGGGTAGTTGGTGCTGATGGCAGCATTTTAGGTTCAGTCTCAATACTCAGTCAAGCTATTACTAACAAACAAGAAACAGGAATAATGCCAGCATTCTACATCTCATCGGTGACTTGAAATTGTCTTGATTTAAGCTGCTATCATGTGGCAACCTCTGGCTCTCTGAATATAACAAGGGGGGTGTTTTAAATGTCTATTTATCTACTACCAAGCCACAATGGTCTTGGGCAAAAGAACAGCAATTTAAACAGGAAAGCATTACGTGTCCTGCACATTTGAAATGCAATCAGGACAAAGCTATTTTTTTCTACCTAAAGCAATACACAGAAAAGGTTAATCCTTTTCGAAGCACGCTTTTGGTGGTTCTAGAAGGAAAACACACTGAGCTTCAAAGCTGTGTGATTAAACCCTTTGAAACAGAGGCAGGACTTTATCCTAATGGGCACAGCTTGTGCAACGTTCCCTGTTCCACAATCCTCAATCAGAGAATGGAATCATTAAAATGAAATGCTGTGGTAGCCTGTGGATTTTTTTCATAGTTAACAAAGCTGAGATATGACACTTAACATGCTATTTTTTGTTTAAAATACACTTGCCTTTCACATTCAACAGTCCACAACTGTAGTTACAGAATATTAAGTCTACATCACAGGGGCTGCGAGGTCCAGGAAATATATTCCCTTTTTTTAAATGGAAACTGGATTCTACTCTGCTGCCTCACATGGATTTGTACCCAAAGACCCTGATGATGAGGAGACATAACTGTCCCAGTGTCATGCAGTGATTTTCATAAAATCAAGTCAAGACCCTGGTCTTCCATCTCCTGATCATTCATGGTGAATACCTCCTGAACTCCACTGAGAGTACTCAATGCAAAAATGAATTTAAAATGCACACAGTGAAGGAAGAGCTCAATTCTTATTCAGTGTTTGCCAGTTTAATTATTCCATGTAATTTTCAATAATTTGAGGCATGAAACCTTGTGAAAAGTATGTATCGAACAGACATGATTTCATTATAAACTGCTCCAAAGTTAGAATATGATTATTCCAGCCACCTTAATCCTGCCCTTTGTGCCTGTACTGTGCACCAAGTGAAGCAGGGTTCCTGTGGGGAAAAATAATATGCAATCATGTAATTAATTAAAGGCTCACTCCTAATGATTTTATGCAAAGGGACAGATTTAAGGCTGCCTGAGGATATTTAAAATTGGCATTTGCCTACTTTTTAAGAGTTTATTCAGCAGCTTAAAGGCATCTCTTAATACAGACTTTAAATTCCACTTTTTTTTTTAACTAGAACAAATGTTTTCATATTCAGCTGTAACCACATCTCCATCAGATATCAGCAGCAAGTTTTACCTTGTGAACCAAAGCACAGGGAACTATGAAAGTGGCCTCCTTCTAACAGGTTCCTACAAGTATAATCTCAGACCCTTAAGTACATTTTAAAATTAGTAAAATTACATCCGATATTTTAACTTTATATCACCATTTTGAACCAGATAGGCTGCAAAAAAAAAATGGAAGTAACAGGAATGAAGTCTGTGTGGTCTTCAGCACTCTTGATTACTATGTCAGATACAATTCCTTTATAAATTCCTGTATTTTTAAAGTTGCATCAACTAACTATTTAAGCTGTTCAAGTCAAAATAATTCTAAAACTATTCTGAATTTTGGTGTAAACTGGGGAAAGTAAAGCTGGTGTATATTTATTTTATGCCTCTTCAGAATTCAGAATCAAAACTTTGCAAAAACATATTGTAATAATGGATAAACATTATATATTGGAAACAGTGGTGGGATTCTATTCTGCTTGATAGTTCAACAGTATTATCAATTTAATTCTGATTCTCTAGTCTTTTGCCTTCACAGTGACTGGAATTAAAAGGAATTGGCAGAAAGAGGAGGATATTGACTGACCCAATCTGATATTGACACCATTTTTGTGACAACAGAGAATCTTGTGACACCATCTGTTGGATCAGGTTACAGAAAAATGCCAAGGGCTAACACTAAAACTGCATTTACAGTAACAAAGACCTACAGTCTGAACTAATCAAAAAGCAAAGACAGTCCTTTCATTCTATAGCTATTTTCCCAATTATTAAGTTAAGGTTACATTCATCATTGATTTGTTTATTTTTAACTGCTGAAATGAAATTACTAAAACTAGTAAACTTATAATTTTTCATTCTTAAAAAATATCTAAACTAACTTTGCTATGTAATATGCTGAGCATTTTCTTTCACTTATACCATGGGCTCCCACATGTCATTTATAGCTGTGGTCACCTAAGATCACCAGCTTGGGGGACTTTATTTGTTAGTCCTGGAGCTCTTGATTCTATATTGTGGTCATATGAGTGAATCATAATGATATATAGGAGAAAAAGGGCTTTTGCAGTTTTAGTGGCTGTGCCTACCAAGATCAATAGGAGCTTTTCATTGATTTAAAAAGGGTCAGGGTTTTGCTGTACCTTCACACAGGACTCTGAACTGAAATGCCAGGGCAGTGTTCCTTATAAAGCAGGCCAGTCCACAGGAAGTCTTTATGAATACATATAAATATTATGTTGACAGAGTAACAATAATTTTTTCAAAGGTTTTGTGGGTATAAAACCATAAATAATATCATAAATAACTACTGTCATTCTGTCAGGGAAATCACAACATCAGAACCAGCTCCATGCAGGGCACTACAGTGAATGGTCAATACATAACACAGCTAATACATCTGATAGCAGCTGAAATTCATCCGATGAGGATGATGAGGCACCAAACACTGCAGCAAATAACATCTAATAAGGTCTCACAGGGCTCTGTTTTCATAGACACAGTAAAGGGAAAATCTAAGTCCTCAGGCCTATAAGTAGACAAAAGTAAAAAAGCCTAAGATCAAAGTCAATACGAATCTATCCAGCTGGTGTCCTAAATAACAAAGTATCAATAATATGGCTTTTGAACTTACAGGCAAGATTGAAACCTTGGGGAAGTTATGCAGTGTCTCCCATTCCCTTCTCAGGTATTCAAGTGAACCCACAAACACAATGTGCTTGAGTTCATGGTAGTGAAAGTTGCTGGCTCGTAATGGCATCACTAAATTTCTTAATCCAATCAAAGCAGATTTAACATCCCCAAATATGCAAACGACTACATGCCCACTTAAAACTGTCATCGCTGCTTCACTTCGAGTCTAAAAAAAACAAACAAAACAAAACAAAAAGACAAGGGAAAAATGAAACAAAGGGCATCTTAAATCATATATTGAGTTTAAAACCAGGAAAAATACAACTGTCAATATTGTTCATGCACAAAGAAATAGTTTGATACAGCTATTCATTTTGCCCTTATTTATATTTCATTAAATGTGCTCAGCAGAAAAAAACCAACTGTTCTTGTTTGCAAATCCTCTGGCATATGGGAAGATATAGTATTGGACCAAATTCTGGTCCTGTGCAAGTTTCTATACATGTGGATTGTGACTCTGGCTACAAAGCACTGTAGGTTTAGCTAAGGATTACAGAAAAGAGATGCAAAGTCGTGCCCTGGTTAACAAATCACTGGATGGGGTTTTTCAACGCCAATTTGGAAAGGAAGATGTTGAGTGTCCAGTGCTCCTAGTAGGGCTTTGTGATATTACTCAGATCTTGTGAGCTGAGGACCATAATCTCTTAGAGTCAAAGCTCTTATTTAAGGACAAGCTGCTGCTGCTCTGAGAAGCAATCCATGAATGCCCTGCACTGCTCTGCCTTCCAGTGGATGCCCACTATATGCCACAGAGCTTCTCTCAGTAACAAAATACAAGGGCAAGTTTGTGATTAATACTAAACTTTCAGGCCAATTGGACTTACTGAGGAAATATTCTCATGGCGAATATTTAAACAGAGTCCAGAATTATCTTTTTGTCTCAGTGAAAGAATAACTTTTTGCACTAATTTCAGCATTGTTTAGTTCAGTTGAGCAGGCAACTCAAACACCAAGATGATTAAATAAAGCCACATGGAAAAAATTACCTTAATTTCTGAAGCCAGTCTTGGCATTGTAGTGCTCCATCACGTAGTTGGAGAACCACTGTTACCATATTGCCAAGAAATTGTACACTCTCTACCATTACACAGAAGTTTTGCCAATGAACAAAACTAAACCAGTGGCAATACGCAAAATTTTCCTCTCACTTATCCACAGTATAAGTCATTTTTCTAAATTACAGAAACATGGTGGTGTGCAATTAAGATTGGAATATGCAGCAGATATGTTCATTATGTCAGAAGAATGGGAACTCTGATTAGAAGTTTTCTCATCAGTTAAAAAATGCATGAGCTTTCAGTTTCTCCAGAGAAATTACACTGATTTTCATACAGCTTGACCAAGAGAGTTGTCTTGACCCTTCAAACAGCAGAAGACAGGAGTGAATCCTCCAGTGAAGCTTTTAAGTTGTCCCATGCAGCTGGAATACTCAGACTTTACAAGACAGAGACCAAGTCTTGAAAGCAGGTATATAAAAAATGTCACTCCATAAATCTGTATGCAGCCACGTATGGCAAAAATCCCTTCTAACTACCTGATACTGCTGGAATGTCACAGAGCCAAAACAGATCCTGGGCAGCAAAATTAATTCTTTTCTGACTGGGACATCATCAAGTATCAATTAGAAGACAACCTGGGAAATCTCATCATCTTCAAATTATGCACTAATTTGTACTTGTGCAATCTCTAAGGACAGCATTAAATTTGCATAGATATGAATGTAGACATAAATTGTGGACTGTGAGTTTGAAAAGGTGTAGGGAAGCATTTTGCTGGCAGTGTATTGGTGATGATGCGTGAAGCAGAAAGAACCGTCGCAGACTTGCAGATTCACAGGCTGGTAGTGGAAAAAACTAACATGGCATAACCTAGAGATGATAACTGAGTCACTCCCCAGCACCATTTGTGAGGGAACACTTTTCAAAGTAGGGCAACATGCAGTTTCCCAGCTAAAATGTGTACCACAAAGGAAGATTTTTATCTCTATTACAAAATCTTGTACAGCACACCTACCCCTACTTCCTTGCTGATTACAAATAAATGATGCTATTTAAAGCTGTTCAGGAAAACTCCATCTCAAGCTCCATCTCCAAAATTTAGAATTTACTTGCTTGGCTATTTAAACACTGATATTGCAATTCCAGGCAATGTCAGAGTTATTACAGAAACCCCTGAGGAGAACTGGAGACAAGCTTTTAACCCCTGATTGCTAGAATAACTGGGGCTGTCACCATCGTTGGCTACACCATGCCACAGTGCAGGAAAATCTAAGAGAGCAGGCTCGGGAAAAGCTTTATGAAGTGCGACAAAGTGAAGATCCACCAGGGAGTTCATTTCAAATATAATCAGTTTTGCGTGTGAGATCTGGGGTTAGTTACTTGCTACTCTTAGGTATAAGTACGTGAACACAAGTGGCATAAACTTTCAAAATAGACTGTGATAGGCCTCCTAATTATTTTTAATGACTTGAGTCAGTTTGATGGTTTTCCCAGTTAAAGGAATGAAACAAACATAGACAGGGCTCACTGCAACGTGCTAGAGTCAGAGTAGGAGCATTACTTGCTCTGGCCTATTTGGGCATCTTGAAACATTGGGAATTGAGAGAGGAGTTCTAAGAGAGCAAAATTAATAAAAATAAATTAACAATGATTAATAAAACATCAATAAACAAGAGATAAGTCAAAACAACAATTGTCTGTGTTAGAATCATTACTCTCTTGTGTAAAGAGAAAAGTGGGGTATGTAAGAATTCAAGTATTTCTAATCTTAATTTTCTATAAAGATTTAAACCAAATATATAAATTTCAGTTTATGAAAAAGAAATTCCCTATACTGGATGACTTTTTATTGTTGCACTGGGCACAAAGATTTATGCAATCAAAATTCTTTAACCAAAATCCTAGCTTTGGTTTCATCACTCTTGCTTCTGATTTCAACACACTGAATTTTGTGACAGAGATGAACCTATTTATCCATGAGACATCAGTTCTATGGTTTAAATAACCTCTTTTCAAACACAACTCATCATCAATACCTACCAAAATGACCTTTTCGATGTCTTTGGCTGGACACCAATGAAACATCCCTGTAGAGTCGTATTTTTTCACGTTGGCATCCATATTGTCAATCTGCTCGTTGCCAGGAATTAACAAGGGGTCATGCCTGGGGAAAACCAAGTTGAGGACAGCATAAATGGAAAATACTATGAATTATGGATGGAAAGATATCCCAAGAGCTATGTACAAAGAGGGACAAAAGTAAAAAAATGAAATGTATTTACACTTTAACATGGTTTCAATAAGGACATTTTTAAACAAAAGCAGCATACCAAAACAAAAAATTAAATTTTAAATGTTGGGTGCAGTTTCAATGACTTTCTATCCTCTTTTATGCCAATAACAACTTAATTTTAGATAGGGTTTTGTGACACCATCACATCTGTCCAAGATTTTTTCTTTCCAGTCCCACCCCTCTGAAATAAATATCAAAGTTCCGATAGGCATCTGCAATGAAGTAGAAGGGATAGGAACAGAGCCCCATGCTGACTGACTGGCATAAGTATGGAAAGCCAATTACTTGCTTTTACCACATACAACTTCTGACGTGATGCTCTTCACAGTAAAAGCTTTAACAGGCTGCACTTTAAATATTTTAGCAATTTGCCCAATCATATTTTGCTTTCCCAAACTGAAGCCTTTTAAAGATTCAACAGTATGTCATTTTAGAGCAGACTGACTAACAAATGCCCACATCTGGAATACATGATTTTAATACCAAACAACAATGTCCATTTTCTCTGACAACTCTACCTGTGATAACCTTCTAAGTGTTTCTGCTAGAACATTTTAAAGCACAAGGCTTCTCAAAGGAGAAGCAAATAAAAGATATTTTTATGAACTTGCTCTCCAGCTATATAGCTACATCTCAGCACAGACACAGAGTCCTTTAATTTATATGCTAAAACCAAACATTAAATTAAGTACTAAGTGACTCCAACACTCACATGCTGGTGAAGACCCCTAAGTGACTGCATTATGCAAGGTACAGGGTAAACTGACCCTAAAATCTTATATTTAGCTTGATTCAATAGTGCTTTGTCTGAAAAGCTACAGTCTTTACCTCAGGTTTTTGTCATAAATGCTTGAAATATCTTGATATAGAACTGTAACATTTAAAAGAAGTATTTGCAATTTAAGAATATGCTAATTGCTCTGAGGCAGGTATCCAAATTTTAAAGCAATTTGCCCTTTGAAGCCTGTTAAAGAAATGCCCATACGGTCTGAGCTCTTAAAACAGGAAAGTTTCCTGCTTTTAAAGCATTTGAACCAGCACACTGTGGTGACATCCTCTCTTCTGCATGGACTGCTAAAGCAGACTGTGAACATGGTGGGTGATATAGGTTAATTTACCTTGAACATGGTATGCTAAGTTACCATGCAACCAACGCTTGCTTCCTGTGAAAAGTACAATCTCAAATTCAGTCAGGGTGATCAATTACTGTGATTTCATAGCCATTGATTACAGATCCATTGAAATCAGCGGAAAATTCTCATGTATTTCACTCAGGGTCAACTCCAAAGAAAGTGGTTCAAAAAAGTTGAGAAATTATTAATACAATGTTCCATTTAAACCAGAATCTTCTGATGCTTTAAGACAATCAACGCCCCACATGGCAAAGATATAGACTCATCCGGAAAGAAGAAACACTATGTTTTCAAAGTTTTTGAATTCTCTCAGTAGAATACAGTTCAGTGATTTCACTGTAACCCACTAGCAGCAGGGAAGCCCTACTGGACTACCTGGAGTCTCTGTTCCTGCTCCAAGCTGAATAATGACAGGCCTTGCATAAGTGTGTTCCCTCTTTCGCAGGAAGCAGAGATGACAAAGCTGTATCAAAGGCGTTTGTTGTGGGGGCTTGGTTGTTGTTCTGTTGGCTTTTTTAAAATTTATATAAAAACATATAGACTCTGAACTCTCTTGCATCCATCAGCACGATGCAGCCATGGTAGTTTTGTCTGAGAGCTGAGATGCCACTCACTGGGCATTCCCCATCTGCTCAGAGGTGGTACAATAAGATCTGCAGCCCTGAACATGCTTCAGTTTGAAGGTTGCACTAATGTTCAGACTACATTTAGTGGTGCTCTGTCCCAGCTATTTTTTCTAATGGAATGTGTTATCTATATGCTTCAAAATAAGAAAGTTTGCCAAAATACTAGGAATCTTCAGGAGCTTCCATTGAGGAATGATTTTCTTTCTGTTGTTTCAGGGTTAGGTTTTTTACCCCAGTACTTCCACAGAACATTTCTTCATGAGTTTTCTAGAGGAGCACTGAAAAGTTCCCTTTTCAAAAGCAAAGTTCACCAGTCAAATCACATCTTTTCCTTGCAGAAATCAAGCACATTTAAGAAGGAACTTTCCTTTACCCCCTATCCATCATCAGAGGAACTGTAATAAATCAATTTTTAAACAATGCCATATTCTAGTTTTGTAGTCAGTGTTTCCTTTCTGCTCTGAGATTTAAAATTAAATAGATTATCTGAAGCTTTAACACAAGTGACTATTTAGCAATACTCTAATCCCAGACATAAAAATGATTCACAGAAATGATACAAATTGAAATGAATGTTATAACAAAGCAGGTGGTATCAGATATCTGACATCCAATTATGCCTTGAGGTTTGAGGCAGTTTTTAGTGTGAGTGCTTAGAGCCCAACACAGTTCTTTAGGGCTTTGCATCATAACAGGGAACATTCAAAGTACCTTCTTCCAAAGGTTTATTAGAATATTTTAGGCTTAAACATAAGTTGTTTTCAGAGAAAAACAGAGCATGTGAATCATCACATGTAATCCCCTGTTGAATTTTTAGGCAACAAATTGTGATTTTTTTAAAAAAAAGCCCTTTGGATTTTTAATTTTTGGTTTTTTTCTTTTTTTTTTTTTATCAATACATGCATTTATTGGCAGCATCATAGACAGTTTAGACTCTACTTTATTGCTTGGAGTATAGCAAGTGGGAACCTTAAAGGAAGCAAAAAGGATGGGACACGCAACATGAAAACATGCTAAGAGATAATATTTTCTACTTTTACTCCAGGATAATGGATTATTGCCTGAGAAGGACTCTGTGATATGACTAGCCACATTTCTTTCATAATATGTGGGATTATCCATGTAAGTGGACTTATTAAATTTAAATCTTTTGGGCTAAGATATTTTTTAAATTTCTCTTTAATCAATGTTGTTTCATTCTCAGTAAAGTGATCCCTGAAGCTGTCTGTGGACCTTGGAAACTCTTTGCTACTTAGGTCCAACTTTGTCCTCAGATGTTACTGAGTGTATCAGAAGATACACTGACTTATGTATTTAAAAACTGAATTGATCAGAACAGTTATAAAATAGTATTACTACTTTGGACATATACACCCTCATTAATCTGATAATCCAAACCTGTTTTGCAAATACTAAAAATTAATTAAGATAGACACACAGAGAGGCCAAAGCTGTCAAATCTGCCTAAGGCATTTGGACACCCTCTTCCCATTAAAATTTATATTACACAAAGCATTACAGTTGTTGCCCTTACAGCCAAATCATGGACTGAATGTTTCTAGAGCCTCTCTGCCTCCTGATCCTTGAAGATGGCCTTGTCAAGCTGTGCTTGAGTCACATTGGCAGGTTACTGCAGAAATGCTTATATTCACACAGCAGTCATTATGTTCTCCAGGGCTGCAAAGTCCTCTGATTCAAGAATTCAAATCATATGAAGAAAAGCACTTTCTGTCAATCAAACCCCTAGTACTTGTTTTAATTGAGATGTTGGTTTTTATGACTTGCAATGACCAAAGCATTTGGTCCTTCTGGCTAGGAAAAGACATGTACAGCCTATATGGAAGGAAAGGAACAGAAGTTAAATTTCCCTCATCCATAACCCCAGTTTAAAAATAGCTTCTCTGGTTCTTATAGCAGATATTACATACGCATGACTTAAAATGAAGAGCAAAATGCCATCTTTTCAAGGTTTTGAAGAGCCTATAGTGCCACTCATGTGCAATTAAACTTGAAAACGACGCTAAATGCCAAGCTACAGCTGCAAACCCAAAAAGCCTGCCTGGAAGACAACAGCCTAAAGCAAAACCATAAATCCCACTTACAGCAAACCTACTGCAAGGAAGTCAACATTACATTTTAAAGAGTATTGCTTCCCTAGCACACAGTTATAACCACTGCAAAATCTGAGGTTTTGAGTCTGAAACTTTTGGGTAACTCACTGGGGATGGACAGAACTGAAAAGACTATTCAGGACTAAAGGGCTGCCTCAGTAAATGGCTATTGTTAAACAAACCCTTGTATTATGTCACCCTTGTCTTATGCTATTATACACATGCAATTGAGAACTAGAGCAACATGCCCTCCCTGGTCTGCAGTGGAACTACCCTGAGTGCTGAGCACTGGGAACAAGAATGCTGTGTGACCAGCAGGGATGACCCTGGGGTTGCCTGAAAATAAACTCTAATCTCTTAGTCTTTACACGTTATTAAGACAATTCCTTGGCTAGTTTTTGTTCTGTCCTCCAATAAAATTCTCTTATATAAAGTCAGTGCAAACCACACCTGATAAAAACACTACTCCTCTTTAACCTGTGTCTGTTTAAGTCCGCAACTCTGCCTTTCTCAGGTAGACATATCTGGATTTTGCGCACAAAAAGATATTCAGCAGTCTCCTGCACAAGATTCAGGGTCTTTAGAGACACCCTGCCTGTGGTTCAGGAATTTTGAGTTTTCCTGCCTTACTTAGGGGTTTGTGGCTATGTCTTAGCAAGTGTATGCACACAGATGCTTAATTTTAGGAGGAAGGAGTGGGTCTGCTGAAGGTAAGAGAGGAATTGAAGACACGCTAAAGAATGTCTCACGCCTTCAAAATTTCTCCTACAACTACCCTAACAAATTGTGGCAATTAACATGCTGTTAGTGTTAGATGTGTGCAGCCAGTGCAGGTGCTAATAATTGAAAAAGCATTTAGAGCTTTTACACCCTGGCTGAATATTTCATGATGTGCTGCATGTTTCACTATTTACTCAGTGGGCCTGTGTCACTTCAATCTTCTCTGACTGCTTTGACTGGTGCTATAAAGCTCAACCAAGACAGAGTGACGGCTTGTCACA